GTGAAGCCAAAATATCGCTGCCATCTTGCACTCATAACATAATTTGGAGAAACGTCTGCACAGGAGTGATCAGCTGTATTGATGCCCCCCCTCACTCGCCCACACTATAACACAAAAACACACATTAAACTTCCTGATAAAAAGGTCAGAGGTCATTCAATCCAGGTGGGTACAGTCCAGGATGTTATGTTGTTGTAGAAGCAGACACTCACAGTTACTGTAAGTTCAATGACTCTTTGTGGCGATTCTTCTCACAGTTCCTCCTCTCATTGCAAATATTTTTCATCAACAGAGTGCTGTTAGGCCTCCCTCTTTACTCCCCCCTCACAGACAACGTTTGTTGACAACTAGAGGAGCAGACGGTGTTGTGAGAAGACAAAGACACATGTCGGTGTAGGTACAAGAAAACTGCGAAAGAGTTAATGCAAAGACGGGGCGCTGGTGTCTCAGTGGTTAGTGCGTGTGCCCCATGTTTGGAGGCTATAGTCTTCAAAGCGGGCGGCCCAGGTTTAAATCCGACCTGTGGCTCCTTTCCCGCATGTCATTCCCCACTCTCTCTCTCTCCCTGATTTCCGACTCTATCCACTGTCCTATCTCTCCATTAATGGCACAAAAAATAAAATTTAAAAAAGAAATCATGTACATCAATGTGTTGTTCCTTTAAAGACAGTTCATTAGTTGTAGGCTCGTATATTAGTGGCTTAGTATAAATATGCCTGTGGTTGAGTTTCCTCTGTGTACATATCTGATATCATTTACCTCTCCTTCACTTTCTGAATCAGCAGCTGACCCCGTTCACCGCACACAGCCGGAGGGGAAACGGAACGTCAGCTGGGCCCATATCGTGTCTTTTCAAAGCTCTCACACCCTCAGGGTATTACTCTCAGAGAGAGGGTTTCACAGAGATCTTTCCCAAGAAATAAAGGTTCGTAAGCCCTGGGCTGTTTCTTCTCCATGATGTGTGTGATAGAGGGTGTTGTTGTCACTGATGCTTTCTCAGTGAGTGTTGTTTTTTTTAGGCTTTACGGTAAGATAAAACTGTATTCATCCTGAGGGAGGTCGCTTTGCAGCAGTGGAGAGCAAATATAAACAAGTATACATAATAAAATAAAGATAAGGACCAAGAAGAGAGCTTCTGTTGTGGGATGCTGCTCTATACGTACAGCGCCTGAAAACACAACACAGGCATTTAGGCAGGCAGCATGGTGGTGCAGTGGTTAGCACTGTTGCCTCACAGTAAGGAGGTTCCTGGTTTGAATCCCCATCTGACAGGAGCCTCTCTGTGTGGAGTTTGCATGTTCTCCCTGCACATGTGTGGGTTCTCTCCAGGTTCTCTGGCTTCCTCCCACAGTTTAAGACATGCTCATTAGGTTAACTGCTGACTCTAAATTGCCAGTAGGTGTGAATGTGAGTGTGGCTGGTTGTCACAGCCCTGTGATTGGCTGGTGACCAGTCCAGGGTGTAACCCCGCCTCTCAATCAGTAACAGCTGGGATAGGTTTCCCCCTGCGACCGCAAACAGCAAAAGCAGTATAGATAATGGATAGATGGATGGATGGATGGATTGACTTTTAGGCAACCCACCTACCATCTTAATATCTTCTTAACCTCCCTGCCTACCTCAACTGGATTCCAGCATCCTGTCTCAACAGTAAAGGCATAAAAAGCCCAAAAATAACTATTTTATAAAATGAATGTAAACCCAGTATCAAATACACCAGCACATGTGGCTTTTAGCATGCTAGCATGAACATGTGAGTGACAACGCATACTAACAATGAAATAAAGTCCAGTTCAGATACTAAGATTGAACATCCTTACGTTCAGTGACCTGTTTGTAACATGAAAGCTTCTTTCGCTCTTTCGTCCACATCCGACTCAAACGTTAACTCTCTTCTCCCACAACACGCCGCTCAGGTGCACAGAAGATAAGCTGCAGCTTCATTTACAGCACCTGTCGGTTTACGAGAGTCATTATGTGTCCCACCCCGGCAGAGTGTTTCATTTGCAATGCTAATGACCGCTAATGTGTTCGACGACAGCCACCGTCTGAACGGTATATAGGCACCGCCAGTGCTTTACATTCTCCTCGTCACCATCGCTCATCACAAGCTCTCTCATGGCTGAGGAAGTGAAGCTGTTTCCGGGCAGATTTATGTTCAGGCATCAAACTTGTGTGTTCAGTGACAGTGAAGCTGCAACCTGAAGGCAGTCAAAGAAAAATGTCTCTGAATGAAGACAGATAGTTGCTGCTTTCCATTGCTCATACTTTAATACTTCTAAGTTTGCCAGAAATAAAGATTCAGTATGTCACAAAACATGCAGAGAAGTTAAACATGCATACCTTAGCTATAGCCAGCATGCTTTTTGTGCGCTATCTCTGGATGAATCTGTAAATGACTGTTTGATGTAAACTGGTGATTGTTTGTTGTTTTGTCCACAGGGGACATCATCGTGGTCACAGAATGAAGGTTCCTCACAGGAGCTTTGAGCTCCAGCTGAACCTCCTGCTCCTGCTGCAGCTTGTGTGAGACGGCGCCACGTCAGAAAACCGTCGTCAGCAGAGGTCAAAGACGGCGAGGGCACAAACTCGAAGGTCTCGGAGAGAAGTGAAAGATCTGAATGCTCGCTGAGGAGAGAAGAAAATAAAATGTCCTGTCAGGATTTTACAAACCAGAAAGGTGTGAAACATGAAAGGCTGAGGGGAAGTGAAAAATCTGCAGATTCCATGAGGAGGTGCTGATGGTGCAGCGCCTGCAGCAGGGGGTCACCCCCCCCCACCCCCCGCCCCGCCAGCAGCAACTGACTGCACCACACACGCTGCTCAAATAACACACACGCACACACAACCTCAAACTTCTAACTGTGCGTTTATTTACGACATTTCAATGAATACATTGCAATGAATTAATAACTTAATTTGTTGGGTGAAAATACATCAAACCCACCACTTTGTCTTCAGCAGAATAATTGTTTAATGATGTGCATAACTCACTCGTATTAGTAACCAAAAACACAGCAGGACACATTGCACAGACCGGTAACCTGCATGCATTTGTATTTTTTAGTATATCGTTCCACATGCCTCGTTTCATGAAGGTTTCTGTCCCACAAATGGCTCTCCGTGTTTCCTCCTCTCTGATGGATTTGTCTCTGTGGGGTTGTGTAACATCATCAGTGCAAGATGGCCGCTCCACAAAAAGCTTCCAACTCTGACCCAGACAATAAATCATCCTTGTTAAGTCGCAGAAACGCTTTTAGTGATATCAGATTGAAAAAAGCTGCAGGGTTTTATTCTGAGGTAGACGAGGAAAAACATCAGAACAACAAACATCACCTTTAACTGTTTTTTGCTTCTTGGGAAGAAGGGCAGCTTCAGAGTTATTTTTAATACAAACGTTTAAAATTCAGCGAATCTAACATGCATAAATGTCTTTTAATTTTAGGTTGTGGTCGGTTAATTTTAGATTTTCTGTCCCGTCTCCACAGAGGCTGCTCCTTCTCATCGGAGTCTCCTCTCTGAGCTCTGAGCCTCATTAACACAGCAACGCACTCAAGGGAATCCTCTGGAACCAGCAGCCCATATTGATCCGAGCCCTGAACAACTGAAATATAAATGAGAGATTTCACAGAGGACTCCTTTGTGCACCCACGGCCTGCCGTTATCTAACAGAGGCTGCAGGGTTTTCTTTTCATTACTGTCAACATGGAGACTGCATCAACAAAACAAAACGCTGTTTTAACCGACTTATTTAGAAACATGGAGAGGAACATCTGGAGAAACCTTCACAGAAATGAAGTTTGGAAATCAAGCACAAGTCTCCTCTGAGCTGTCTTAGACTCCATCATGATGATAACATGGATCTTCATGTTCATTTTGAACAAAATATGCTCTAAAGTCAGGGTTGGTAATTTTCCTCCAGATCCACTTTTTCAGATTTTGGTTGAAATTGTCTTTAGGTCCTGACAGAAATTAATAACTCAGGTTCTCTGAAAAAGGGAACAAAGAAAATCTGTCATCTGTATCAGTTGTAAGCCTGTAAAAACTTCAACCAATGTCTGCTACGAGGTACCAATCTGATGAACCAATCACGCGCCTCCCTGTCTCCCTGCTCGCTCTCTACCTCTCGCGTTCACTAGCTCACACTGAAAGCGTGTCACCGATGACAGAGTTTATACTGAGAGTTTACTTACCGCTGAATGAGACATGAGACGACGTAGTTTCTACACAATGCAAGAGATGAGCTGAGGTCCACTTCTGGAGCATCACAAAACACACAAGAAAAAAGAAAACACAACGACGTTAACTTGAGCGCAACCAGTGATTCAGACTTAGCCTCTACTATCAGAGAATATTTGTCACGATTGGGCAACACGTCATGATATTTTCGATCATCCTCCTGCTCCGCTTCCTCCATTAACTTATCTCTGCCTGGAGCTGCTGTTGCTGTTGTGCTTTGCACTTCAGGGCCACCGTAGGAATACCATTATTTTTGATGTAAAAATAATCAGAGAATGCTTTATTGAAAAGTATTTGGCAGATATGAATATTTTTTTGGTATATTTCCTTAATATGAGTGACATTTTGTTGTGCTATTTTTTTTTTTTATCAAATCACTGAGTAAACACTTATTTTAAGGTTCTATACACACAGCTATATTATTATTACGACTATTATTGTTGTTTTTATTGCTATTTAGACACTATGCAGGAGTTTGATTGCAACTTTTGACAATTCAAAATTTAAAAAACTGCCCAATGTTGGATGCCTAGAATTCCTTTTTTATACTTGGGTGGTATCGAAATCGTTTAATTATAACTAGCACGATATCGGAGTATCATGACAACCCCAGTTTAAAGTTGAACCAACATTTGAAGAGAGAGAGAGAAAGAGAGAGAGGGAGAGAGAGAGAGAGAGGCTGAATGGAAAGGTAGAGCGACATAGACTCAGAGTGTAGAGAGAGAGAGAGAGATAGTCGCCATTACTGCCTGGCAGTGCTGCTGAGGGGAGGGAGCGGAGAGACGCAGGTTTCGGCTTACAGCGCATACCACACTAACGAGAGCAAAATACAGTGAAATACTGTCGACCCGGCCGTCTGGAACTACAGGGGACTACACCTTCAACTAAAGTCAACTTCGGATTTTGTCGGAGGGCACCTTTGAGCGCTGATTTTGGATTGTAAAAGGAGTTTTTTTGCCTTGTAATGTGGGAATGCTTTCTCCTCTTTTCCGTGGTATGTGGATCTGGGAGCGACCATGTTAATAGGTGGGTAGGGGAATGTATCTGGACTGGGATTTGGGACTTCTTTAGCTAGCACTCTGTTCTGCGGGCGGACACTTGCCCCACGATAGCGCTATCACGGGTTAAAGGGAACTGACACGGTAATGTGAATGTTGGCTGCTAGAATAACCCGGGTTGAGCTTTTATAACGCATCCAGCGTTAGCCTGGGTGCGCTGTTGCTAACGCTAGCGAGCTAACTATCCTCACCCTCTTGGCATGCGATGCTAAAATACTAGCTAGTGTTAGCTCATCGGGATTGGAAAGGTGGGTTCTTTTCTCTCCCCTGCTTTTATCAGGGCAAAGACAAGCCAAGCCGGGCCGGGTTTGGTTTCCTTCCCCCCAGGAGGAGATATAACCCGCCGTATCAAATCCTGTGGTTACGAGTATTAGCTCCGGAGAGTTGACGCATTAACGTTAACGTGTTGGTTTAATTTCAACATCAAACAAACTCGTATCGTTAACTCCAATAAGTCTCTCATTACCCGGATGTTCCCCCTTTTTTCTTAGGGTTCGGAATTTAACGTGACACCCCCCTTTTCCAGTTGCTTTTAATAAAACGTAACAGGGAGAAAATCTTAAAAATCACTTTGGATAGAAATGAAAAACCCTCCCACCTTTACGACTGTACCGAGTTCAGAGGGTCTGTATTAATAGTGCAACGTTGATATCTCTTTAATATTTTCTAGCTTCGTGTTGAAGTTATGGACTCCCTGTTTTTAACATGAGTGTCCTGCTAATCGCTAGCATTGGGGATGGAGGGTCTGATTAATCAAATGTTCCCACATTAACAGCCCCCAGCCCCCCAGAAAAAATCAAAGCTATGATAACAAGTTGTGGTTTGTCTCAAGCAGCTTAATAACTTTTGTTTATTCTGTGTCTGGCAGTCTGTGTGTTGTCCTGCTGCTGCAGCTCTGCATGCCATTTACATTGACTCGGACTGCTGCAGCTCCCTTTGCCCTTTACCCACTCTGTGTTTAAAGGGATAGTCCGGCTTTTATCTCAAGAGCATCCTCCTGCCTCTGGGCAGTCCTGCAAGTGTCCTACAGAAATGAACATGTCTGAATCCGTCCTGTCATTAGTTTGCATGCATGTGGCTTTGAATAGTCAGAAAAATAAGTTCATGATTTGGAGATTTGTCTGAAAGCTCCCCAACGTCAACAACAATGAAACAACAATGAAAGCCTGAAGAAACTATTATAAATCCCCGTTTCCACAGAGAGGTCAGGTTTCGTTCAGCACAGTTTGGTCGGGTAAACCAAATCGATGATTGAATATTGAAAAGTACCCATGCTTTAAAACATGACAAGACAGTCGGAGAGGAATGAATCCCTTCAAAGTTTGCAAGCAAACTACTTCTCACAGTCTAAAATGCACAAATGTGTCTGCAGCAAACCAATAAATAACCCAATATTTGCTGCCCAGGACTTCTGTTGGTGTTGCTATGGTAACATAATGGCTATCGATATCGTTTGATTTTTAGTAGGAACGTATCAAAGTTTACATTTCTGACATTGTGACATGCCTGTTTGACGAGCTGACTCACCTTCATACCAGTTTGATTGATATCAGTATTGTTATGGCAGGCATGTCAGGAGAGCTTTAGCTGAATCTGCTTCTGCTAAGACAAGTAGAGATGTTTATTAGTATTGGCATATGCTAATATGATGGAGGCATTCAATATCAATATCAGTCTGAAACTACCACCTTAGGGTTTTGGTACAACAAGCCCAGTTCTGAGTAATGGCCTCGTTGATCGTGTCAGCCTCCAAACTGAAGCCTTAAAAACTCCGACTTCCACCGGAGTTTCTCCTCCAGCTCCTCGTATTTATTCTGCAGAAAGTCAGAGTGAGCTGATGTGAGAACACAGCAGGATATAATCAGGAGAATTCACCTGGAGCGAGTGGGAGGGGGTGGTGACGTTTATTCCCTGTGATCGCTGCACGACCATAAACTGTCTGCACGCCACCTCTACCATCTCTGTGCTCTAATGAACGTGTGAACAAACGGATCATGAGGAATTCATTGGAAGTCCTCCTGGAATTCTCTAGAAATTTTCAGGAGTGCATGTGTAGGAACGGCTTCATACTTACATCATCAACACACCTGGAAAGGAAACTAAGACACGCTCAGCTTCAGGTCTGGACTCGACACTGGAAGGAACGTCACTCTGCAACATCTTCACACATTAAAAATCAGATTTATGTGTGTTTAGAAAAGTCTAAAAGATCAACAACTTTTAAAATATTGTAACCTTTCATCGGAGGGTTTTTATAGGAAACTATTTTCCAAGAAGAAGCGTCAGCCCGGTGCGTTTGACAAGTTACTAGAGTTTAATATGATGAGCCTTGTTCACACTTTGCGCAAAACTCCTGACGTTTTCGGGGTACAGCTTCATGCATGAACGCAAACAGCTGAATGTTTCTCTCCGACTTCCACCGGAGTTTCTCCTCCAGCCTCCTCGTATTTATTCTGCAGAAAGTCAGAGTGAGCTGATGTGAGAACACAGCAGGATATAATCAGGAGAATTCACCTGGAGCGAGTGGGAGGGGTGGTGACGTTTATTCCCTGTGATCGCTGCACGACCATAAACTGTCTGCACGCCACCTCTACCATCTCTGTGCTCTAATGAACGTGTGAACAAACGGATCATGAGGAATTCATTGGAAGTCCTCCTGGAATTCTCTAGAAATTTTCAGGAGTGCATGTGTAGGAACGGCTTCATACTTACATCATCAACACACCTGGAAAGGAAAGTAAGACACGCTCAGCTTCAGGTCTGGACTCGACACTGGAAGGAACGTCACTCTGCAACATCTTCACACATTAAAAATCAGATTTATGTGTGTTTAGAAAAGTCTAAAAGATCAACAACTTTTAAAATATTGTAACCTTTCATCGGAGGGTTTTTATAGGAAACTATTTTCCAAGAAGAAGCGTCAGCCCGGTGCGTTTGACAAGTTACTAGAGTTTAATATGATGAGCCTTGTTCACACTTTGCGCAAAACTCCTGACGTTTTCGGGGTACAGCTTCATGCATGAACGCAAACAGCTGAATGTTTCTCTCCGACTTCCACCGGAGTTTCTCCTCCAGCCTCCTCGTATTTATTCTGCAGAAAGTCAGAGTGAGCTGATGTGAGAACACAACAGGATATAATCAGGAGAATTCACCTGGAGCGAGTGGGAGGGGGTGGTGACGTTTATTCCCTGTGATCGCTGCACGACCATAGACTGTCTGCACGCCACCTCTACCATCTCTGTGCTCTAATGAACCTGCTGCTGCATGTTTCCTGTTCTCCAGTATGTTCTTCTCCACTCTTTAGATCAGATTGAGATTCTCTTCAACTACATGTAGCATTGATTGAAAGACAAATATTGTCTTCACAGCATCCTAGCGGACAGTGTTGCTTCGTCGGCCACTTCCACATCGTTCTTTTTTTCGTCATGTCTTGCCTCAGGAGACCCCCCCCCCTCCTTTGACAGTGACAGCCTCCTGCTGTGAGGCGCACGTGTGAACAAACGGATCATGAGGAATTCATTGGAAGTCCTCCTGGAATTCTCTAGAAATTTTCAGGAGTGCATGTGTAGGAACGGCTTCATACTTACATCATCAACACACCTGGAAAGGAAACTAAGACACGCTCAGCTTCAGGTCTGGACTCGACACTGGAAGGAACGTCACTCTGCAACATCTTCACACATTAAAAATCAGATTTATGTGTGTTTAGAAAAGTCTAAAAGATCAACAACTTTTAAAATATTGTAACCTTTCATCGGAGGGTTTTTATAGGAAACTATTTTCCAAGAAGAAGCGTCAGCCCGGTGCGTTTGACAAGTTACTAGAGTTTAATATGATGGAGCATTATTAACTGGATGCTAAAAAACGTTTAAAGCAATTTCAGAGTGAATCAAAAATATACTTTTCTTAGCTGTAAAAACACATCAACAGGAAGTCTAGCTGGAGCTACAGTTTAAAGCATTTATAACTTATAATTTATAGTAGCTATTGTTTGGTTGTATTGCCTTGAGTCATAGCTCTTCTGACAGCTCATATAGTGAACTTTGTGCACTATTAAAAGCTTTTGGTCCTGTCTTAAAATGTAATGAACAAGTGCTGAACACCTTGAGGAGCTTTTTAACACTGCTGCTCTCTCTGGGGTGTCACACGAAGGGCAGGCGAGTCCGTCCTCTCTGTACATGTGACAACATTTACCTTGCCCAGAGTACGTTTGTAAACCTGTGCTGACATTTTCTACTTGGACCAGCAACAAAAGTCTCTCAATTTTAAAATGGCTGCACTCTCCAGGGCAACCAGGTGGGTTTCCTCTGAAGAATGCCTCAATGCTATCAGCTGGCCTAATGTAACTCTTCTAGATGAGTAGCTATAAAGATGGCCGTGACAGGTAATGGTGGGCAGTGTCCGCCCTGAGTTCCTGTGAAGTGGGGGGAGTGAACTGCCACAGCCCTGGCTGCGTCTTCATGATTTACTCAAAGAGGAGAGATGAAAAGATGTGATGTTTGGGGGGTCCGTTTCTCTCCGACCAAAGAGCTCAGGCGTTGCTTATTTGAAGGCAGTTTGGATTTTGCTCACAGGTTTTGATTCATCTCTTCCTGTGGGAGGAGAGTTGTCTGTTCTCTGGATCAGATTTGCTTTTGGGGAAACATAATGAGCCTGTGGCACCTCGTTTGCAGCTGACGGGCCGCTCTCCTCATTTAGAGCTTTGCTTTGTGATTTGGACTGGAAAGAAAAACAGAATCAAGTATGTATTTATTTTACCTTAAAAATCCTTTAACAGGTCCGCCATTATTGGCAGTGTGTTCTGCTGTGTTTGAGGGCTTAACAGCATTTAGTCATCTCTAAAACCAGCCTGCCAAGTGATACCTTAATCCCCCTGCAGCCTCACAGTGAATACACTTATCATGATGCACAAGGCCACTTTTAGCTATTAGTGCAGCACAAATGCAGTTTGGGTTGTAGTGCTGGCTGACTGCAGTAATAGGAACACAGCTCAGGCTTCATCAAGGTGTTTACAGCCAATTGTCTGCAACGCTACCATCCCTCTCTCCATATATAAACATCACAAGTAATGAGAGTTAAATCAGCCCTGCATGTCCAAGGATTGTCATGATTTCAGAATTTTAAACTTCTATATGATGCTTGTTAAACTGATTCACAATGGCAACAAAGAAAGAAGTCCTACGATACCAATGTTGGGTGATTTATTGTGTTTCTTTTAGCAATCTCCTGCACGCTTTCCAAATTGCACAAATACATGAACGTTCCCAATGTTTTTTTTGTGCAATGAAGACTGCGTTCTCTTGCTTTTGCTCACGACAGAAGATCTGAAGTCTTTTAATGTTTGGGTATTTTTTGATACTATCCGCCATTGCATCGTTTTAAAGCGTGGTATTGAAGAGTATGGACATTGTTGACAGCAGAGGTGACGGGAATTTGGATTTTAGAGAATAATCTTAACAAACCTGTTGTTGATGGAAGTCAAAGGGGAACGTAGGGCTTTAATTTGTCATTAGTTTGTCAATCAACATGGAATTAAAAGATTTCACTTGTACTTGTTGTTTTAGTCTTTTGCCAAGTACAGATTACAAATGTTCCTAGTTGCAGTGTCTTTTGAGCCCATTTAGCACGTTTTATTATCATACATTTAATCAAATGTAATATGAAGGATTGTTTGTTGCTGTTGGTCAGACGAAGGCAGTGATTTACGACCTTCACTTAGCCAATAAGATGTCTAATTAATTAACAACACCAACATAACAATCAGTAAGCCATTGAGCAGTAAGTGGAGGAGTTGATAGCTCTGTCATCGAGGCATGAATCTCTTTGTTTGCAGGCGTTTGCACCGCCCCTAAATGTATGTGCACATGTGCTTTATAAGCTCAGATATGTCTCTCTGTCTGCCTTCCACAGTCAGGTGCGGCTCAAATAGCAGCACGGAGGCCATTGTTGAGGGGGATTGGCTCGATTTGTAAACCTGACAGACCTGCTGGTTTGTTTGCCCTCTGACATCATTTAATCATCAGGGTGTGTTTGAAGGACAAGGAGCTCCTGGCTCAAACCTTAGATCAGCTGACTTCACATTTAAGGCACACTTCCTCGTGGTAATTCAGCAAAGTGATCCTAGTTTACTCGCCATTTATGCACAAGAGTGTGTTTCTCTATGAAATGTAGGGTGTTGCTGTGGGTTGTGTAGTTTTAGTTATTGATCAATAATTGATTAAGCATTCAAACCGGGATTAAAAACCACAACACGATCGGTGAGTTTATTGGTTTATTTTTCTCTCCAGCCCTGATTATATCAACATGTCTGCAGATATTTAAAAAAAAAACAAAAAAAAACACAACATAGTAAAGCTTTTTAGGAGCCTGAAACTGAACTTTAGGAGATACCATCATCCCTGTTTGACTCTGCAAGAGAACTGGAACAGAACTAGAAGACTCGCTGCTTTCTTAAAGTCTCTGTTGTGGAAAATGTTGCTTTCCTTGTGAGACTGAAAAATCCAAAGTTATGTATCATATATATATATATATATATAAGACTGTGTGATATGCCAATACCAGTTTACACTTCAATTTCTATTAACTATCTATTCGTTTACATGTTATAGTGATAATGCTGCTGTAACTAGCCCCCACTCTGCAAACTGTCGGCTACTTGGTTTCTTTTAACTGTGCAGAGTGGACTGTAAACCAGCAAAAGGCTGTGTTTGTCGCTGTGAGTATGTCCGATATACTTGCTCCTTTAACCTGAGGAAAGATTGTTGTAAATTCTGGCAGGTCCTAGTTGGTGAATTGAACACATTAATTTGGCCTAGTTTGGATCCATTGCTGTCTGAAAGCCTTGATTAACAAGCTTTATATTGTGGTTATTGTTTTAAATAGTATTTGACGTTATAAATTTAATTGTATTCAGTGAGACACATCCATTTATTGTCTGTTTTGGAAAGATGAATACAATTCCACAATCATTGTTTACTTCTTCAGGGAGCCGTACAGTAGATCTGTTATGATATCTTTGCTTTCACAAAACAGCCACACAGGTGACATCATCACCTTGGCCTCTATAAACAGTGAGGGGAAACCTCATTGCTTCGACTCAGTGAACCGAATTCCTGCTCTGGTGCAGTTTCTCAGGCTCAGCATGCCTCCATGCTGCAGCTAGCAGTTCCAGCTCACGCAGGCAAATTCACTGGCTGATTGCCATCGCACTGTAAAACACAACAATGACTGCAATTCTCTCGGCAGCTATCAGCCTCTAGTTGAGTCATGGACGGGTTCATGCTGATTTGACTGTTGCAATCCCGGATGATACAGAAAGGCTCAGTCAATCAGATGCATTTGCCTCATTTATTTTTCACACATTATTAGTCTCTACAAGCTCTAATTCGGAATCGTTAAACATTTCATTTCCTCTGGTTGTTAATGTTGAATACACAAAGGGAAAGCAGCAAAACAAATCCTCTCACAAAAACTCAAGACCAGTTAATATATTAGGAGAATGGCATGCAAAATAATCAGGATTATATGTTTAGCCCTAATCATGTAGCCGTAAGATGCACCAACAGTGATAACAAATCTGTGAACTGATTTATTTTCTCTGTTTTATTCTCACAGCGAAGCAAATCATTTCTAGGTCAGTGGCTGTCAAAGGGCTCGAGTTGCATGCCATTTTTATCCTGCCTCGGCACAAATTGGTTGAAAGCACTTATTTTTCTCTGTGAGGGGAGAAGTGACATTGTCGAGCATGATCTATGATTGAATTACTCTCCCTCTCGCTTACATAACTTGTACTACCATACTTGTGTTTTTGTCATTTTTAAATACCATTTTGATATTGCAGTTAAAAAAATGAGTTGATTCTGCAAAAATTATGTCTTCATATTTTTATTGTGTATACAATTATAATTGTGTTTTAAGACAGTCACAATGTTTCTAGTACATAGAGGTCAAATCAAAACCTCTTTAGTAGGTTTTTAACTATTTATGGGGGATAATTTTGCCCTGCACATCAGTGATAATGTTTACCTGTGGCTTATTGTCTGACTTTGTGTAATGCCAGATCAACATGTTTGAATTATTGTTTGAAGTCACTACACTGCTTGGTGTGAGTGACGAAATGCTAGAGGGATAGAAACAGAAACAAAACATGAATCTTGTTTCTCGTGATTAGAAGACTGAAGTTTTCCGAGGATGATTGAACGCTAATTTGTATTTGTTTGTTTGGCCTTTATCAACACCTAATTGTAAACTCTGTGTCTCGCAGGTAGCTGATAAAAGGAGAAGCCGGCTGTTCTATCCCAGCCAGAAGAGGACACAGGATAGAAACTGAAAGAGCAACTGAGAGTTGGAGTGGGACACATCACTACCAGCAAAGAAATCAGGATGAAAGTTCCTCTGTACCACTGACAAGCAGAACTGGAATGATCTCTTGACCCTTTTCCTGGAAGTGACCAAGTTAGCGATGAGAGGCGGGATATAATGGCCAAAAACAAGGATGCACGGCCCCCGACATTCGCTGTCAGTGTGGTCGGCCTCTCGGGGACGGAGAAAGAGAAGGGAAATTGTGGCGTAGGCAAGTCCTGCCTATGTAACAGATATGTGCGTCCTGATGCGGATGGTTATTACACAGAGCACACCTCAGTGCTGAGCACAATAGACTTTGGGGGACGTGTGGTAAACAATGACCACTTCCTTTACTGGGGGGATGTGTCCCATAGAGGGGACGATGGGCTGGACTGTAAAATCCAAGTCATCGAACAAACAGAGTTCATTGATGACCAGACGTTCCTTCCGCATCGGAGTACAAATTTGCAGCCCTACACCAAAAGGGCAGCAGCTACTAAGCTCCAGTCGGCAGAGAAGCTGATGTACATCTGCACCGATCAGCTGGGCCTGGAGCAGGACTTTGACCAGAAACAGATGCCTGATGGGAAGCTGAACATTGATGGGTTTTTGCTGTGCATCGATGTTAGCAAAGGTTGTAATAGGAAGTTTGATGACCAAATGAAGTTCATCAACAGTCTCTACTCCCAAATAGTTAAGACGAAGAAGCCTATTGTTGTTGCTGCCACAAAATGTGATGAGTGTGTAGACCAGCACCTGAGGGACCTGCAGGCTTTTGTTGCCAGCAAGAAAAACCTGTTGCTAATTGAGACGTCAGCACGCTCCAATGTCAATGCAGAGCTCTGCTTCAATGCCCTCATCCAGCAGTTGGATAAAACGAGGGGGAAGCCAAAAACTGTGCCATACCTGGAGGCCTATAAAATCCAACGGCAGCTTGTTGCCTCGGTGTCGGATAGATTTGAAAAATTGATGGTTCACTCGGTGAGAGATTACCACACCACATGGAAAGGTGTTGTCAACAATATGAAAGGCCAACCAGACTACGATGACTTCATCACCTTGGAGGGCTCCAGGAAAGCACGTAACATGTTCACAAAGCACATAAGTCAATTGAAGCAGGAGCACATCAAGAGGAGAAGGGAGGAGTACCTGACAACACTCCCCAAAACCCTTAACAACCTCCTCAATAACCTGGAGGAGGTGGAACCCCTCTCATGGCCTGAGGCGCAGAGTGTCATACGGAACCGACCAGATTTTCAGCTCTGGTTTGTGATTCTGGAACAAACACCATGGGATGAGACTGACCACATTGACATCAGTGACCGCAGGATACCCTTTGACATCCTCGATACACCTGATGGCGAGAGAATTTACCACAACCACGTCCAGCACCTGCTGTCCCAAAAGAGACGGGGGGAGATGAAAGAGAGGTTCAAGAAGACGCTGGAGAGGGTTCATTTTATCAGTGCGGGGCAGCCTTGGGAGGAAGTCATGTGCTTTGTCATGGAGGACGAGGCCTACAAGTACATCACAGAATCAGATAGGAGGGATGTTTATTGTAGACACCAGCAGGAAATAGTTGAAAGGGCCAAAGAGGATTTTCAGGAAATGCTTTTTGAGCATGCCGAGCTGTTCTATGACTTGGACCTGAATGCCACCCCCAGCTGCGACAAGATGAGCGAAATCCACTGTGTGCTAAATGAGGAACCCAGATACAGGGCGCTGCAGAAACTTGCCCCAGATAGAGAATCACTCCTCCTCAAACACATTGGATTTGTTTACCATCCTACAAAGGAGACATGCCTGAGTGGGCAGAACTGTGTGGATATGAAAGTGGAGCAGGTTTTAGCCAACAGGCTGGTACAGCTTGACCACGGACGCTCTAATCTCTATTATAACAGTGCCAACATTGATAAGATCAACCTCTGCCTCCTGGGAAGGGAGGGTCTCTCACAGGAACTAGCCAATGAGATCCGAGCTCAGTCCACAGATGACGAGTACACCCTGGATGGTAAAATATATGAACTGGAGCTTCTTCCTGTGGATGTCAACTCTACACTCCTCTTCAGCCATACCTGGGTCAACAGTTTTAAGCCACATGGCTGCTTTTGTGTGTTTAATTCCATAGAGTCCCTCAACTGTATTGGAGACTGCATAGGCAGGATCAGAGCAGAGATAGCACAGAGTAGGAGAGATAGGTTTGCTCAGCCACTACCCTTCATTCTTATCCTGGCTAATCAAAGGGACAGTGTTTGCAAAAACATACCCATCCTGAGGCACCAGGGCCAACAGCTGGCAAACAAGCTGCAATGTACCTTTGTCGACATCCCCTCCGGAGCCTTTCCACGTAAATTCACTGAGTTTCAGATAAAGCAAGGTCTTCGAGCAGTGCTGGAGGGGCTAAAGCATAACTTTGATGTTTTGGCCCCATTGCCCTCTATCAAAGACATGTCAGAGACGGACCTTAGGATAGTCATGTGTGCCATGTGCTGGGATCCTTTCAGCGTTGATCTCATCCTCTCGCCTTTCCTGGACTCACATTGCTGTAGTGCAGGGCAGCCAGGTCAGAGCAACACATTGATACTGGACAAGATCATCGGGGACAGCAGGAGGAGGATCCAGGTTACTGTCCTCTCCTATCACACTGCTATCGGTGTTCGCAAAGATGAACTGGTGCATGGCTACATTTTAGTGTATTCTGCCAAACGCAAAGCCTCTATGGCGACCCTGCGGGCGTTCCTGGCTGAAGTCCAGGATGTTATCCCTGTCCAGATGGTAGCAATCACAGACAGCCAGGCAGACTTCTTTGAGAATGATGCCATTAAGGAGTTAATGACTGAGGGGGAGCACATTGCCACAGAGATTGCTGCAAAATTTACTGCACTCTACTCACTTTCTCAGTATCATCGGCAGACAGAGGTGTTCACACCGTTCTTCAATGAGGTGCTTGAGAAAAAGCAGGGTATTGAGAGTTCCTTCTTGTTCGACAGCTCATCACGGGAGTGCACTACTGGTGCCAGTGAAGACGTCTTCCCCACGTCCCCACATAGCCATTCCCCAGCCTACAACACCTACTACCCTGAGTCTGATGATGATAATGAGGCTCCCCCACCTTACAGTCCAATTGGTGATGATGTTCAGCTTCTCCCCACACCCAGTGAGCGGGCCAAGTACCGGATCGACCTGGAGGGCAACGAATACCCAGTTCACAGTACACCAATTGGAGACCATGAACGCAACCACAAAGTGCCTCCACCTGTCCGCCCAAAACCAGTGCTACCCAAACCCAATGTCAAAAAGCTTGACCCCAACCTGCTCAAAACCATTGAGGCTGGCATGCGGAGCAACCGTAGGATGCAGAGAGGCCCAATGACACACAGCGAGGACGTGGAGGCGTCAGACAACTATGCAGACCCAGTGGACACTTTGCTAAGGTCCAGGGGCTTTCACAACGACGACATATATGCTGTTCCTGATGACGCACACAGCCGTCTGGTCAAAATAAGAAACTCCTTTGGTGGGTTACATGGCCTTCATGGAGGTGGAGAGGAAGAGAATGGTTTTGACAGGAAGTCTCAGGCTGGACGGCGGCCATCAAAATACAAACATCGTTCTAAAATCCTGTTCAGCAAGACAAAGGCCTACCAAAGACGGTTCCACTCTGACAGCGATGGTGAGGAGTCTGGCCATGCTACGCAGAAAAAGAAAAAGGGAAGAGCCCATCGGGGCAGTGAAGAGGACCCCCTGCTGTCCCCAGCAGACCCTTGGAAGGGTGGGATCGATAACCCTGCCATCACATCGGATCCAGAACAGGAGGACAAGAAGATGAAGAAAAAGAAGACGCCCAAGACACCAAAGGAACCCAAGAAGGTGAGTCTTAAACAGAGTTTTAATGCCAGGCCTCTTTTATAAACTGCTCTTAGGAAAGCAGATGGTTCAAATGTGCTATATAGAGCCAGGGAAGAAAAGTAGAGAAGTGAGACAGCATAGATATACTTGTCACCAAGACTCTGAGCAAGAGCTTTCTTGTGTCTTTTTGAAGAGAGACTGAAAGAGTCTTCAGTGCATTGAATATGAGTATGAAACCAGAAAGATTGTGCAAAGTAGAGTTTGAGCCAAATAGTGGGGGCTAAGGTGTGAGATAACATCTTTGTAAGAGGTGCAAAACTCAAGCTGAGAATGAACTCATTTGATAATTAACTTATTGTCCCAACTGCTAAAATGGTTTATGAGCCTCCCCACCTTCGTAGCCTCGGAAAATCAATACAAAGCTTGATAAAATATGCACTGCTGAAAACAATAGGGCTCTGTCAGTATAATCTCAGAACAGGTGCTGCAGCTGTGATAAGGTTCCTCCTTATCCTTTAAAATGCCTTTCTTAAAACTTTTCTGAGACTTAAAGTATTTATATGCAAGCTCACGAGTCAGCCCCTGACATACGCGCCAAGAAAAGTCCTTGCACTTTCTGTAGACAAAAAAAATAAATAAATGCAGAGGCACAAATAAAAAGGCTTTGCAGCTGAAAGTACACAGTCATTTCATTTACACACATCCACCACCAATACATTCACTATAAAGATATTTAGATAAAGTCTTAAATGGCACAATGAACTACCTTCAGTTTTTAAAGTCAGTGCTTGCTGCTCAAAATGAAAGACGTTTCCCTTTTCTTAATCTGACTTTGTGAAAAGAAAAAACAAACTTGATTGAGTAAAATAAATACTGATACATTTATTGGAAACATTTCCCTTGGATAATAATGTTTGTAGAACTGCATAGTAGAATTATGTTGGCAGAGCTGCTGTTTAGCATATTGTGCACTAACACATGCAAGATGGCACTCAGGCACGCATCAGATAGGAGTGTGCAAATCAGTATAGAAACAGCCGCCAGTGCTACATGGGCGTTATGAATGCAGGGCATTGTTGGAACATTCAAACTGTGTTTGATGAAAAGAGAGGGGAGTGAAAGGTGAACTGCAAGGTACAAAATGGAAGGTGTTTAGTCGCTGTCCTGTCCAATTAGAGAGGAGCCCGAGCCGCTGTAGGCATGACAACACTTTGGAGGAGCAGAGGAGTGTGGGAAATCAAAGCCACCTCAGAACCTCGTTACTCGTCCCAGCTTCTGTCTTGTGTAACTGTTGTTGTCTTATACTTGTTCCTGTCTTCCTCCACATGGACTTCTCTCTGGTTTCTCCCTCTCTTTCCCTTCATCCCACTAACTTTCTTTCTGATCTATTTCCCGATTGTCCTCCTCCTCCTCCTCCCCCTCCTTCATCTCTGATATGCTTTGCTTTCTATTCATCCTCCCTCCTTCTCCTTCTCTGCTCTCCCTCGTGTCTTTTTCTCAACTCTCTCTTCTTTCATTCCTTTCTCCTCTCTTGTCCAACTCCTCGTGCTCTTTGTTTTCCCTTTGAAACATTTTTCCTTCCATCATTGTTTATCTCCTCTTAATCCACCTCCTCTTTGAGTTTACTAATTCTTCTTTTCTTTCTTTTTTAACTTCCCTTTTTTCCATTGCCTGTTTCCTCATTTTTTCCTCCTTTCTTCCTCTGCCTTTTGTTTTAAATCACTTATTGTCCGCTGATCTTTTTTCTTTTTCCTCCTTCATATTCTCCTATTTTCCTTCTTACTAATATTTTCTATATCACTCACTCTCTTTTATATCACTCTTTGCTCCTTGGTTCCTAATATTTCATCTCATCCCCCCGTACAGCCAAGATCTTCCAAACCACCCAAGCCTCTGTATCCCCCAACCCGAAGAACCTGGGAGAGCAACTACTTTGGCGTTCCCCTTCAGAACCTGGTGACCCTGGATCGACCAATCCCCTCTTCATCGAGAAATGCGTGGACTACATCGAGCGCACGGGTGAGTCAGGCGTTTCATCACTTTCTCTCTCTTTCTCTGTCTCTAATCCCACTCTAGTTTGTTGTTTTTTGTTCCTTTTATTCGGTCCTGCTGGTGCATTCAGGTGCGGCCAGCGTCTCTGGTATTTTGTTACTCCTACAAGGAGAAGGTGGTTTGTTTTTGCATGCATACGCTTTGAGGTTATCTGGTGTGAAAATGCCTCTCGTGTTCTTCCAAATTAGTAATTGAACAAGTGAGGGAAGAAGGGAGGGATGGGGGGAGGAGTTGATATTTCGGTGGTTGGAGGAAGGATCCTTCATTGCTTTGCTCTGATGTCACCTGTCTAACATGTTTTGTCTGGTCTGTCAGCCTGCAGCAGGCCAGCACTCAATACCAGTCGATCTCAATTCAATGAGCTCTATTGGGTTGGTATTTCATGTGTGGCCAAAGAGCTGCTGGAATGATTACAGAATAAGATGGGAAAAGATTACAGAGATCAGAGAACAGATTGAGGGACAGCGGTAGAGAGATTAACACAGGTAGGCATCTGACATTAATCGATTCTACTCAAGAAAGAAGAATAGAAAATGAGATGGTTCCTTTAAAAACATATAATAGGTTTAGGAGTCCCTGGTGACTGACTAGTATCTAAAGATGAATCAACCTCCTGTGGCAATGGCAATTATATCTTGGTTTCCATTATAGATAATCAGATTTTGTAACCCGGGCTGTAAGATAAGTGTTATCTTATATCCTGGCATAAGATTTCCTCTTTGGTGTTCTGGTCATTGTTAACAGCCTGACAAGAAACTGGCACATGAGAAGTGGGAGTTAATAGAGGACATCAAAGAGCACATTTTTATCTGCTCTCATATGAATATCTATCAGAGAGACCTTATGAAAAAGCCAAATTAGCAGTATGTGCACTGAGAGCGATAGGTTCATGGATTGCCAGTTCTTCTCTTTATGATTTATTTTTGGGCTTTTTGCCTTTCATTGGATAGGAAAGTGGACAGAGTAGGAGACTCCTCCAAGTGGCAGGCCGGATTCCAACCCAGTCTGCCTGCTTGGAGGACTGAAGTCTCTGTACATGGATCGCGACCTAACCTCTAACCCATCTGCCCCTCCATCTGCATGTGTTGCTCCCTACATTGACTGTTTTAGTTTGGAAATGAAAATGAAAAGATTTGGGAGCAGAAACTGTTTTCCCCTAGTTTACTACAATCGAAATGGTTGATTAATGAAGGTCAGTGGTTGTATTAGGAGAGAAAAAAGCTCTTTATTCTAGATTTAAAATGGTTTAAAACAAGATGTGTGGCCTGCTTAGACTTCTTTAGCTCCAACAGATGCATGCTGGGTATTTGTCTGGCTTCCTACCCAGCTGTCGTAGAGAAAGCCTCCCTCAAAGTCTGAGATTCCTCAGTGAAGACATGGATCAGTCTGATGGATATTTATACACCATAGAGCCCACACTTTGTCCAAAGCGTGTCTGCACATTTTTGTTTCCTTCATGAATGGCTGTGGTGGGATTTAAACCCACAACCAGTGTCAAGTTTCTCACAGCTCTAAAATAACCATACAAGCCATAAACAGCTAAGACCTTCCCTCTAACCCAAACTGTTTCCCTCTGACCGCTGAAATGAATATTTAAACACACTTCAACTTGAATGAGCTTGTTGCATAATGTATTTACTCATGGACCAGTGCTCTTTTCCACATTAAGAGCCTCGGAATGAGCTCCAAGAAGCAAAAGTGTCTCTTCAAGACCTCAGAGTAACTTTCCCCCGGGTCAAATGCTTTAAATATCTGATGACGTGATGTTTCCTGTCGGGTTTCTGTGTGTTCAGAGGGGATGACACTAACTCATGAACTCATCATTTTAGTCAACATTTACATTAGGGATGTGCACGTTAAATTGAAAATAAAATTAAACATTGGAACCCTTGTTAGATGGCACCAAGATTATTAGCAAGTTAAATGCATTACTATATTTTTACAAGTCGGCCCTCAATGTTGGTCAAATATGTCTAAAGCAGCTTCCCTCCATGAGCAGGGGGTGGCTGTAGCTGTGGCTAATGGACGTTCTCTTCTGGCTCTACTACCCAGATGTAAACAAGCACAGTAAACGGATAGCATCTCACAGGAGCATCTGGAAAATGGAGATAAAAATGTATGTAGGCTGTGTCAGATTAACCTTGCATGTCGACTGGCACAATGGGCAACAACATTATGCACTGGCTTTTGGACGTTAACCTGCAATGAGGACCAAAGGCTAGCAGTGCTAGTGTTGCTAACATTAGCTACGCTCAGCAAACTAAATTACATTGCTTACCTGCAGACTATTTGATAAATCGAGCTAAATTTGAACAGTTTTCTGAGTGTTTTTTAACCTGTAGACTATTGTCAGTTAGTCTGAATTTAAATTAGCCATCAGTCAACTTTATAATTAGTCATGTCAGAACATCTGACTGGTTTTGTGTTTTGTGAAGTTAGAGAATGACTTATTGGTATACAGGTGTTGTTTTGAGGACTGTTAATTTGTAACGGTGCCCAAAGTGACTAAATGTATGTAGGAACGTCTTACCATCACAGTCTATTTTTCTCTCCTTGTTTGTCCTCAGTCTGACGCCATTTGTGCAGGAAATATATAAGCTTTAAGTTAAAAGAATGTCCTTCTGTCTTCCCACCAGTGTTTGTAGCAGTGATCATTTCTGTTTTCAAGGTAGCGTTTCTTCCTCTCTTTGAGCTCTTTCTGTTTTGGGGCTGTTAATTCCTGTCCTGAAAATCCCTTCTGAATATGTTTTGATATTCAGCTGGATCTACATGATCCTGTTCGTGGCTGCCAACCAAATTTCGGATTAATGCAAGCACTCTGTGTGTGGATGTGTGTACAGAAGCCTGCCAGCTGACAGAACCGTATTGGAGATTTCATGGCAATGCCGTGAAACTAAAGTCCAGACGGTCTGTTTGGTGGATTTAACAGCTTTTTTCTCTCCTGGAATATAATTCCTCACCGTACAGAGAGAACATCTTGGTGCTTTTTTAAAAAAAAGCCTGCTGTTGTATAATGTGTTTCATATTCAGGCAATTTTAAGAGCTTTTACAGCGGGGTGAGGTCATTCAGGTTGTTTCTGAGAGGAGGTTGCGATCGTCTTTACATGGAGCTTGGTTGCCTCATCAATCTGCCTGTTTAACATTATATAGTTTGAGTTTAGAGGGTGGGGTCGCTTTGTGAATGCAGAGAGTTGTGAGTGATTGTGGGTGTTGGTTTTAATATCTTGGTGGTTAGGAAGACCCTCCTTCAGTGTAAGAAACGTTAGGCAGAGACTCTCCTGTCTGCAGAGATCCACCCTGCTTATGTCTACTAAAATAAGATACTGAGTCTCCAACGACTGCAGACCTCTGACCTCTGAGCAGGGCTGCAGGACACAGGATGTCCCAAAGGGAATCATTAAAATGTCCCTTTAATATTATGTTATTGTTGTGTTCCCCTCAGTCACCAGACCCCTGTCACATTAATTGCCGGGGGAAAGTGAGGTGTTAAAGAACTCCTCCCTTGTATGGTGACCCATTTTAATAGAGTGGCTTCACTGGCAAATTACTCACAGAGAAGGATTTGATTTATGCTCGTTGTCAGTGGATGTGAAGTGCCCAAAGAAGAAAGTAAGGCTACATCCACACTTTCAAAATGTTTGGGTAAATTGAAGAACTTGGCTGCATTTCTGCCTTTAGCTTCCAGATCACTGGATGAGTTTGAGCTGCTATACCTTTAAAGAGGTTGCTGACCTTGTTATCGTAGAAAGCTCTTGGGCTGCATTTTAGTGTGGCCAGGTAGCAACTAGAGGAGGCAGCAACAAAATCGTACTGACTCCTGTGATACGATTATCAAGTCTCTGGTGCCAAATATTGATACTTCAATAAATAAAAATAGAGTGCTGCAACACATTTTCCTGCCAATTTGGCTCCACAGGGTGCAGCTCATAAACGAGGGTTATATGAATGGAAGTTAATTGGCTAAAGAAGAAGTTCAAAGAAGGATGGAGTTTAAAAGGCATTGCAAAGAAATTAAAAAGATGGAGCTCAATAAGACTTGAAACTGACACCAAACCTTTTAAGGGTCATTCTGTGGTGTTCACTTAATCAGACCTTGCGATGTACAGATGTGTAATTATCTTGCAATATTTATGTTATTGCAGAATCACTTTATTGTGACATCATCATTGTCGTTGGCAATGAATCTCGTATCACGTTGTGTCAGGAGTTACCCTGGGATTATCTCATCTCTGATAGAAACCGAGACATTTGCAGACAACGATCCAGACGTCCCCATTGTCTTGAGATGAAATACTCGTTATTTTTCACTGTTCAGGGAATTTGATTTTTTCATCAGACTCCTATCTTGTGCTCTTTGTCCTGGGAAAAACAACGACCTCTGAACATGAGGCGTGCAAACTAACCTCTCGTCCACTGATGCCCCAGCGGCGAGGGTCTTTAATTTTACACAGCGGACGTCACCTTGGGCCCTTGGAATTTGGGATTGGTATTATTTTTTTTATGGCCATTACTCAATTCAATCAACTGATTATCTAGAAAGTCAGAAATGATAATTGTTGTTTTGAGTTCAATATCCTGATTTCCCATCTTTTAAGAAAAGTGTTCAAAATGAACGAGCTAAATCCACTGAAGAGACTTCCTTTCTGCTCAAACTGTAACTTCTTCTTCTGATTAATTTATGTCAATCTGTTAATATATGAGTCATCCAGTTTTTAACTCACCACACTACACCTATCCATCCATCCATTGTCTATACTGCTTAACCCACTACATTTAAATATAAACTCAATGAATCCAAAATGAAACAAACCTTATCTGCAGCGCCAGTATGGGCACAGTTGTGTTTTTGTGGTTGCAGCACTGAGGCCAGACTGCTGGTGTGTTTGGTTTAACCACATGTAATAAGCTGCCGTCTGCGAGGCAGAGAGGCAGAGAGGTGATGATGGCTGTTTGTGGTGCCTCTGGTT